GCGGGGGGGTGGGAACAGGACCAGCAGATGGCATAATGCTTACGTTGCTGGGCTCCCACGTAGTCAACCGTGGTTCAAGACCCATACCCAGAGGCTTAAAACACATGCTAGGTGCTTGTGTTTGCATGCCCAAAATCCAGAGAGGAGAATGGAGGAGAAGGGATTGCATTATGGCCATTCCCTCTGGTGGGTAATTTCTTACTTTCTGCCTCTGCCTCTGCCTCACCTGCTAGTGCACACACCCTGTAGCAAAAATCTCTCTCTCAAAAATAGGGGAAGGGGTGGCAGCCCTATAGTATAGCAATTGAGCACTATGCATTGGGAGCCAGATCCCACATGGCTGAATGCAGTTGGAATCCTAGCCCCAGTGGCTAAAAAAGCATGCTGGGCACACATGCATCCATGGCCTAAATCTATGACAGAGGAAGTAAAAAGAAGTAGAGGAAGAGGGATTGCAGCATGACCACACCCAATGGGGGGGGGATGGTGCTTCCCTCTCTGTCTCATGCATGTGTGAGTATATTCACCCTCTGTCACTTAAAAAACATTTTTTTAAATAAAAAAGTCCCAGCCTTGATGGCACAACAGTAGCTCAACAGTGCAATACTGGAAATCATATGCAAGATTTGGGTTCAGTTGCCAAATCGACCTATACATGTCAGATGCATGTGTACCCATGATCCTGGATGGCTGGGAAGGCTAGGGGGAGGATCACAGTGTTGTGATCACCCTCAACCTGTTGAGGGTGCCTCCCTCTCTGTCACTCTATTGATAAATAGATAGGTAGGTAGGTAGATAGATAGATAGATAGATAGATAGATAAATCCAAAATTAAAAATGATATATTAGAGGTATGAATCACCACATCAAGAAAGCAGCAGGAAAACACAATGGTGGGTCAAGAGGACTTACCAAGTACCCCACAATCATCAAGCTGTCAGGAGCCTCAAGAAGACACCTTGTCCAGCCTCTATCTCAGGGGAAACACACATGTCAGAGAAGCTCTCTCCATCCCCTGAAGGTTGTCAGAGACAATGCTTCTACCATCTCTTGCTGCATACATGGCCTATACCAACTCAGAGAGCTTCTCCTTGGATATAGCCTGTATCATTTTCTGTTGCAGAATAGGGTCTCACTCATCCCAAACTTGACTTACTTGGTTCACAGATCGATAACACATGGATCTGGCAACTAACTGAAGTTGAGTTTGGAGTAGTCCTCATAGGAGCCCAAAATTGGTGTCCAAGAAAGAATTAGAACCATGAGTGGGAGTATATGAATTTAACACCAGGGATAGCATAAAAGGGCAGGACAGGAGGCAGGAGCATTAGATGCTGAAAATAGGCTGGGATGAACAAAAAGTAAATGCCTCTATGAAGACCAACCATTTATATGAAGAAGGGTGAACACAGGTTCTTTACATCAAATATCTGTAACCAAGAGGAAGTGGGAGTTTATAAGGAATTTTATTTAAGGTTGCTTTCACTCTAAAAGTCATCATGCACACAAAGCTGAACCCTGTCTAAAAACTTCAACAAGGAGTTTGGGTACCATCTAAATCCTTTTGCCTAAACTGTCTTCACCAAGATTCTCCTCATTCCTTGCAACCGAGGTTAGCTCACTATTTCTAGGGTTGAGTCCCAAAGTGTACAAACAGATTGACAGATACACAAATCCATACTCCTCTCTCCTACTACATACAACACAATTTAAGAAACTCCTGACTTCACACAACCCCAAGGCAGCAAAACCCTGACACTTCAAACCTCAGTAGACAGTAAGACCTGAGGACTTCTGGCCACAAATGGGAGAGTGGGGAGAAATATATAAGCTAATACTGTCCACCCCATTTAAGTTTTATATATAAGCCATATATACATTATATTCCACTGTACAATGTATATGAATTTATCATAATAAAATTTAAATTTCCTTTAAAAAATGTTTAGTACAACTAACACTGTCACCCTACCCTACTTCCCATGTACAGTAGGACTCTGCCGTGTGGTCCTAGGGGTGTGCATGCCCCAGTTGGAGAGAAACCATTATATTGGGTTGTTGGTAAAGTCATTTTTTAAATGTTTTTCTATGTAAAAATATGTCACAACTTTTCAGATGAGCCAATAGTTTCACAGGTTAGGTCCAATACCAGCAAGATACCTGCTCCTTCTTAGACCCTGGGTTTACAGTTAATAGTTCAGAAAACATAGAAGAGTTAAAAGCCAAGGTCAATATCCTAGCTTAAAAAGAATTCAAGATCAGCTACAGATGCAGAAGGTCCATGGGGAACTACAGTCACAAAAGCTTAAAAACATTGAGAATGTAAAAAGAATAAAGGCAAATAGGTGGGGAGGAATAAGGATCTAGGGTCATATTAGTAACCATTTAGAACTAAGTGAACCACATTTCACTGCAAGGTTAGCAATAACATTTTGCTCTTACCTAGAAAAGCTATGACGCACTTTTCATTACTTAGGGGAAAATAGGCAAAAGTCGGGCATGACTATTGCAATATATTCATACTTTCAGATTTGCTGAGTTGAAAAGTAAAATTATTCTGGGTCCAGCAGGTGGCATGTGGTTGGGTCGACTGGACTCCCACAGGGCTGACCATGGTACAAGTCCCAGACCTGGCAGCGTGCTTTCTCATTTTCCTTCTCTCTCTCTCTCTCTCTCTGTCTCTCTCTAGTCAACTTCAAAAAAATAAAATGAAATAGCAACGACTAAAATCAAATAATTCTTTAAAAGAAAAGAAAAGTAAAATTACTCTAAGAAAAGACAAAGTGCATGACTTCATAGAAACTAATCTACTTGCCTAGACAAAAAAAAAAAAAAAATAGAAGAAAAATATAAACCTTTCATGTAGCTGTAACATAATCCATAGAAGACAGTTTCCTATTTAGAACTCTGATCATTAGGAATGGAGCATCTAAAAACATTCAGCAATCCCAAGAAAGATAAATAATTTCTAGAAGACCCAGGGTTGGGGTACTAACACTCTAATGAACAAAGAGGAAAGGAAACTACTTCTCAAGCCACAGCATCCTAGCTTTTCACTTTTTCTGCTAAAAGAAACCAGTGAGCACCAGAAACATCTCACTAAACCACAGGTAAGAAGTACATGCTATCGACAACACAGGAACAAAGAGACAGAGAAAGAAGGGGACTCCAAACAGACTCATCTTCCTGAGCTGTGGGGCGTGGTTCTTCCTTTCTGAAAAAATTATCCTTTCTCAACAAGAAAAGCTTCTTTGCTTACCTTACTGGACCATTTGCGAGCTTCATCATGGAGCTGCCTGGCAGCCATCATCATTGGCTGGTTAATCACCTCCCCTGCTTTCTGCTCAGGGAATTCTTCATCCTTCTCCTCTGGTGGTGGGGGCCTAGGTGGAGGGACTTCACCCTCAGGCAGAGGTGGTTTGGGAGGAGCAAGCTCATCTGTTACCTAAGAAAGAAAATATGCAGGTTGTCAGTAAAGCACAAAAAACTACTCCCCCCAGAATTCTTTCCTTTCCTAGAAAAGCTACCCACATTTCACTCCACATAAGACCACACACTGAGTCATCCCAAGGACCACTTGCTTCAGTGTCAACAGAAACAGATTTCTGTTCTCCATAAAACTCTAGGAGCTACTGTTTTTAGTCATGTGATAGGGAGGCATGCCCAACACCACCAGATCAAGGATTCCCAAAGAAGATCCCCACAGAGCATGTAATTTCTGGTTCTGGTTCTCTCAAAGGGCATCTGCAAAGGCAAGCACATTCTTACCTGGGCCTCGGGTCTTCATCTGTCAATAAGGGGTACTCAAGCTAAATGACCTCTAAGATCCTGATTCTAAATGTTATCACTCTCCTGATCACATAAGCCATTTGTCAGGAATACCCCTCTCCCCAGCCCTAACCACCTACCAAGAGTCTACTTGGAAAGAGTCAAGGGAAGTGCTAACATTAGGGAAGTCAGGGTGCACAATGATACAATTTTGTACCCAATCAACTTATAAACTTAACACCTTTTACTGACAACTTTCCATTAAATATGGAAAAGGATATCAAAGAGAGTGAATCAAATTACTGCCTTGGTAAACTATTCCAAAGTCAAGATATTTCCAATACTTTTAGTGGGAGTAAATATCTAAGTATAATCACTTTCTGTTTTTAGGATTTATATCTGCAAGATATTGCCCAGCTAGCCTCCTCATAAAATAAGGAAAAATATATTCATAATACTTTGAGAGGTAGGAGAGTATCAAAAGACTTTAGATTACAGTTTGGATAAAACATAAACCTAATTAGAAAAGCATGCATTTCTTTTGTTACAAAATAAAGATCAGGGACCAGCAGTTAGCGTAATGGCTATGTCGCTAGACTCCCATGTAGTCGACCACGGTTCGTGTCCCGGACCCAGTGGCTTAAAACTCACGCCGGGCACATGTGAGTGCGTGCCCAAGATCCCGAGGGGAGAATGGAGGAGAAGGGATTACGGCGTGGCCATCCCCCCTGGAGGGTGATTTCTCGCTTTCTGTCTGTCTCTCTCTGTCTGTCTGGCGAGCGCACGTGCCCTATAGCAAAAACCTCTCCAAAAAAATAAATAAATAAAACAAACAAACAAACAAGATCAATAAACATAGAAAAGTAAAGGACGTACACAAAATTCTACCTACCTCAGTTTTACCATCATCAACTGGGAACATCTAAAATCTTACCACAAATTGTGCAGATTATTTTACCACAACTCACTACCTCATTACTCATCACATTCACACTTACCAAAGCCAGCTTCTCTGCTCACTCCTCATCACAGCAGGCCACCACAACAGATACCCACCGACTCATGCATAAGCCCTGAGACATGACTCTCCTAGTTTTAGGAATGAAAATCAAGATCCACCTCCAGCTAAGCTTCAAATAAAAAAATAAATAAATCAAACTACCTAGTGATTCAGGCTCTAAAACAGCCTACCTCTCTCTTGCTACATCCCAGCCCCTTGCTGCTGAATGCTCCCAATCTCTGAATTTACTTACACGAAGCTGTTCAAGGTCTGGTGGTGGAGGCGGGAAGTCAGGCTCCTGAGGTTGGAAGGCCTCTCTGACCTTGGCCACAGCTCCCAAGATCCGATATCCTGAGTCCAGGAAGCTCTTTTGCAGGCCTAAACAAAAGACACCCTCACTTTCAGCTGGGCAGATCAATGTACTGAAGCACCGCCTGTCCAGCAGAAGAACTGGTTTCCACTAACAAAAGCTGGATGTGAAGCTGCCAGTAAGCATCACAAGCAGTGATTGAAGGGGAAGGGAGGCAGGGCAAGTTGGATGCCCCGAGGCCTGTAAAGTGTAGGAAGCATCATAAACTAGCTGTTCCTGTAGTGTTCAGGGGCCTGTTGGTTGTATAACTAACGAGTGCCCAAGAGATTTCTGGGCAGAAACATTTTGGTCTCAGGTGGCACCCATCACCATTCTTAGGATGAGACAGACGGTTGAGAGGTAAGTCTGCCCAACTAAGAACATAAGAGATGTCAGCTGCAGATTAAACATACATTCCCTGGAGTCATTCTCACCTTTCTTCCCACTCCTTTGCTCTACTTGGCATTCAGCATGCTAACCCTTATGCTGAGCTGCTGCTTCTACATTCAGTCACCTGGAATTCGGGAATCCACTCAAACTATTATTAGACATTTCATTTAGAAAGCCAAGCCAGTCTTTAGTGATGGTGAGCTGAGGATATTAGAAAGATTCTGCCTGGGGGGGACCAGCAGTTAGTGTAACGGCTATGTCGCTGGACTCCCACGTAGTCAACTGCAGTTCACATCCTGGACCCAGTGGCTTAAAAATCACGCCGGGAGCATGTGCGTACGTACCCAAGATCTCGAGAGGAGAATGAAAGAGAAGGGATTGCGGCATGGCCATCCCCCCTGGGGGGGGGGTGATTTCTCGCTTTCTGTCTCTCTGTCTCTGTCTGTCTGGCGAGTGCATGAGCCCTATAGCAAAAACCTCTCAAAAAAAAAAAAAAGAAAGAAAGATTCTGCCTGGATCACAGATTATGGGCAGCCCCTCCTCCTCCTCACTCACACTGACTGGACTGTACTCACAGACAAGGTTAGAAACACACTGGGTATTCAAAATAGGATAAAATTCAGATGATTCCAACCAAAGTAGTGCTTTAGTAGTACTGAAAATAAGATCATAATGAAGCTAAAGAAAACTCAGATTCTTTAGTGGAGGACCTAGGAGACCCAGAGGTCAACTTATACCCTACAGATTGGAAAGAAATAGAGAATGCTTTACAGAGGAAAAGCATTTATAAAAAAGCTAAAAAGGTTATGCCAGTTATATAAGCTAAACGGTTGGTAAACTGCTTATCATGCACCTTGACAAAGTTCCAAAATAATGACTAAACAGGGCCAGGAGCTATTTAGCTAGTCAACATTAAGAAATCAGAGAGGACCAGCTAGTGGTGTAGTGACTAAAGTGGTTGGATCCTGAATGGCTGACTGGGCAGTTCAAGTCTTAGACCTGGCAGCTTGAAAAACACAGGCACGTGTGTGTATGTGCAAGCCCACCCAAAATCCCAAAAGGAAAAATGGAAGAGAAGAGACTACAGTATGGTCATCCTCCCCTGGGGATGCTTTCTCATTTTCCCTCCATCTTCCTCTCTCACTCTCTCTGGAGAGTGAACACACCCTTTAGCAAATTAAAAAAAGAAAGGACAGAAAGAATCACAGAGAAATTGGTCCAGATAAGCTAACTTACAGCACACTTGCTAATACTGCAGAGGTTTGGACAGAAAAACAACCATTCTCAAACTAAGTGTCTGTAGTTGTTGGTTCCTGACTTTGTACGTGGTAGCTGTACACTGTATATTTCCTCACTCCTTTTCCTAGTTAACCTATTAGGTGATACAAGCCATACCACCATTGCTTACCAGGGTCAGAAATGTTTCCAGCCACAGCCTTTGCATCCATAACCATTGGGGAGATAGTTTTGCTCAATTCATCAGAGGCAGCTTTCACAGCCTCCCGGAACTTGGGATCCTCAGAATTCTCCACTTCCCTCTTAGCCACAAGGAGGATCCGATTGGCCCGACGAGCAATGCTGGTTGCCCCTGCCACCAGCATCTGAGGCTGAATGTTGGCCATGGCTACCTTACACTTGTCCAGGTCTTTTTTAATTGCTTCTTCCGATGCATCCAACAGAGACTTAGTATCAATGGCTTCATCCACCAGCCCTGTCAAAAGAGAATGGAATTTAATTTCTATTTTAGAAGAACAGAGACTTCAAAGCACAATTATCCATTCAGGTTTCTCATGAGAATGTACAACACCCAGAATTCTCTCCTTCACTTCAAAGTTCTTCCTACATAATACAAACTTGCAGGTGAGCACCACAATTACAAAACCAAGGATGTAGCCCAGGAGGTCCATATGACCTCACAGCAGTTATACCAACCGTGGTCACTGTTGTATCCTCCACAGACAACCAGAAATGCAACAGCATCGAGAGGAAATAAGGATTGAATCTGAAACCTTCACCGTATCACCACCACATTATCTGTTAATAACATTTCCTCCTTCCCCATCTCACTCCCCAGCCATCTGTTGCTTTTTGGCAGCTTGTAGCAGCCCAAGATGAGCCACACGGAGGATTCTAATAACCTTCCCTGCTTCTTATTTCTGTTACCTATCTTCAGACACCTCAGGAGTTCCGCTTTCATCTCTGGCTGCTATGGACCCCTGTCACAGCAGGTTCTGCAGGGACAGTGAAGAGAGCCTACATTCCTCATTTCTTTCCTTCTCTCCTTCCTTTCCTCCACAGAGAATGAAGAAGATTCAGAGGTACCACTTCAATTGCACAGACACAAGTTTGTTGGTAGGTTGGTTTCTCTTTTAAAAAAAAAAAAAATCTTCGTAGTTGATAAGTTGGAGGAAACTCTGAGACGAGTTGTATTAAATGGTAACTATTGTGGTTCCTTGAAATGTGAACCCACTCAGAATGACAGGGACGCTTACTGTATCCACAAACACCGCCTCCCAACTCTGAAACTGAACTCTGACTCAGACTGGGCAAAGACACTCCTCAAAGAAAAGATAGGAGCTGTAACAATAAACATCACACCAGGAGGGCAGGATTAAAATAAAAAAGACTCAAAGAGTGTCTCTTCAGAAAAAGTTGCAAAGCTTGAATGAGAAGCCGCTACTGCTCACAGCCTTAATCAGAGCCAAGTACACCATCAAGCACATGACTGGCCTTTTATCCAGTTACAGCTAAGTAACATAACCTGTCCTGCTAAAGTTTCTCAGAACTCATTCCTCATAGATTAGACAATAAGTACTTTACATAAAACTGTACCTGTCATTTTTTCAACATTATCAATCCACTGGTTCTTCATGGTCTCAAAATGTTCATAAGCAGCTTGATTTCCAGGGTTCCTAAGTAAGATGCGAGCAGCTGAGACAACCTGACAATGACAAAACAACTATTCAATAGAGAACCCTCACATTCAAAATACAAACCTTCAGTGAAGCTTTCTCCTCTGGACCTGTAGGCGGCACTAAAAAGCCAAAATTGGCAAATCTCTTCTCAAGCTGAACAAATTAGGTTTGGTCTCATAAAAAGCCCTCAGAATGGGCACTTTAAGCAAAGATTTTGTAGTCATAGCCTGATTTTAGAAAGGTAATAAAGTGACAAAGTAATGAGTGTTCACTTGATACTTGAGAAAAACACAAAACTGACATATATTTAAACCCCAGACATTAATTCTTACATCTTAAAAAGCACCATTAAGAAAGATAATGTGGGGACCAGCAGTTGGCATACTGGTTATGTCGCTGGACTCCCATGTAGTCGACTACAGTTTGAGTCCCGGACCTGGTGGCTTAAACTCACACTGGGCACGTGTGTGTGTGGGTGTGCCCAAGATCCCAAGAGGAAAATGGAGGAGAAGGGACTGCGGTGTGGCCATCCCCCTGGGGGGTGATTTCTCGCTTTCTGTCTCTCTGTCTCTCTCTGTCTTTCTGGCGAGCGCACAGGCCCTATAGCAAAAACCTCTCCAAAAAAAGAAAAAGAAAAAGGGGGAAAAATGAAAGAAAGATACTGTGCACACATGCCCAAAATGGACTCTGGCATGGCCATCACCCCTGGGTGTGACTTCTCACTTTCCTCTCTCTGTCCCTCTCTGGCATTCTGCATATGCCCTATGGCAAAATCCTACAAAATAAATAAATTAAAAAATACTAAAAATTACCCAAAACTTATTTAGAAATGATGTCAATAAAAATACCTATCTATAGATAACAGAGTGCTTCCACATCTATTATCTTACACACAGCAATCCTATGAGAGGGACAGGACAGGTAAAATTTTTCTCTTTATAGGTACAAAAACCAAGATTCAAAATTTAAATGGTGTTGGGACCAGCAGTTAGCGTAATTGCTATGTCACTGAACTCCCATGTAGTCGACCACGGTTCAAGTCCCGGACCCGGTGGCTTAAACTCACACGTGTGCGTGTGTGCCCAAGATCCCAAGAGGAGAATGGAGCAGAAGGGACTGTGGCATGGCCATCCCCCCTGGGAGGTGATTTCTCGCTTTCTATCTCGCTGTCTCTCTCTGTCTTTTTGGTGAGCACACACGCAAAAAAATTCTAAAAAAAAAAAAATTTAAATAGCGTCCTCAGGAAGTTCCAGCTAGTGAGTGACTGCACTGGGGAAGAAGGAATTCACATTTACTACACATCTGCTAAGATATAGGCTATGAGAGCACATTCCTAATCCTCAGAATCCGTTAGGAAGGAACTGGCTCCATTATACAGAGGAGGAAACTAAGCCTCGGGGTCACAGAGGATTCAAGTCCAGACTTGTCTCCAGTCTTTGTGCTTTCTATAGTTAGTGTCTTAAGGCTAGTTTTCTCTTTTTCAGGTATCTAGTTTATACTGAAATTTTAAAAATAATTACTTATTTAATTTTATTTATTATTATTTTAATTTGATCAGCAAGAGAGAAAGGCAAAGTGAGAAAGCAAGTTGCCAGGTCCAGGACTTGAACAGCAGTCAGCCATGTGGGAGTCCAGAACCTTAACCACCATGCCACTTCCCAACTCCCTGAAATTCTGTTTTATGGAAGTTATTAAATAAAGTTAGGCATGTCCATACTATATGAAAATTTTTTAAGTTGGAAGATATTTCAAGAGAATCTACTTTGTTAACATGCCATGAAAGCAGAAATTGAATGATTAAGAGGCATGCTTATTTCCATGTCTCCCCACAAATTCCCACTCAAGTCAATAAAACAGATTTGTAGTGTAGGGCAGCTCCTAAGGTATTATAGGCACTCAATAAATGTACTGAATAAAAGGAGTATTCTGGATAAAGGGTAAAAAAGTAAGAGATTTTCTATAATTTGAATAAAACGATTGCTTCAATATTTCACAATATTTCCCTACTATAACTTTAAATTCTACCCTATTTGTTAATTCCTATCCTGTTTGTTGTCTTTTGTTCCCAATCTTTTGCTTCCAAACTTACTAGCTGTAATTTGGTTATGTAATTAAATAGAAAAAGAAATCAAGCTAAGAAAACAGCCAAAGTTGGTTTTTCATTTGTCTGTTTTTAGAGTTTTTTTTTGCCTTAGGGTGTGTGCACTCACCGGAGAGATAGAGATAGTGAGAGGGAAAGTGAAAAATCACCCCGGGGCCTCCTCGAGGGGATGGCCATGCCACAGTCCCTTCTCCTCCATGCTCCTCCTGGGATCTTGGACATGCACACACATGTACCTGGCATGAGTTTCAGGCCACTGGGTCCAGGACTTGAACCATGGTTGGCCATGTGGGAGTCCAGCAACATAACCACTACACCATCTGCTGGTTCCTTTTTTGTTTTTTAATACTCTCAAAGAGATGTTGAGTATAGATATAAACTCTAAAAACAAAGCAAACTAACCTCTCAAGGTTATAAAATTATTTTCCTAATTTCAAGTGTATATGGGGTAGGTAGCACACCAGTGCTTTCCTTACTATTTTTTTCTACTTTCAAAATTTATAATGTGGTCATTTAAATATAATAATACAAAAATATGCAAAGTAGAAAGACTCCTATAATCCTAACCCTAGATCACTAAGTTTGACACTATGGGTATGTGTGTTTTTTGCTGCTGTTGTTGTTTTAGGCAAAGGATGCATGTAATCACCAGAGAGAGAGAAAGAGAGAGAGAAAACGTGGGATAGCACTCACCCCCCTGCCCCCCCAAGAGGGTCACATTGCAATCCCTTCTCCATTCCTCCCTCCTTTCAGGATTTTGGGCATGCATGCACTCATACCTGGCATGTTTTTCAAGCTGCTGAGGCCAAGGGTCTAACCATGCAGTCAACCATGCAGAACTCAGTCACCTTAACCACAAAGGCACAGACTGATCCTGTGGTTTTGTGTTTAAAATACCAACTTAGGGACCAGCAGTTGGCATGATGGCTATGTCACTGGACTCCCATGTAGTTGACTGTGGTTCGAGTCCCAGACCCAGTGGCTCAAACTTCCGCTGGGTGCCTATGCGTGCATGCCCAAGATTCCGAGAGGAGAATGGAGGAGAGGGGATTGCAGCGTGGCCATTCCCTCCCCCCGGGGAGTGAGCTCTTGCTTTTTGTTTCTCTGTCTCTGTTCTTCTGGCGAGCACACACGCCCCATAGCAAAAAAAAAAATTTTTTTTTTAAAAAGATTAAAATAGCAACTTAGAGTAAGATTTCAAAAATGTATAGAAATGGTTGTGTAATTAAGTTTCTGAATACTGTTTGATAAATACTGAAATAAAGATTGAGCAAAACGCAACCTGGGGTGTGAGTTCTCGAGCCGTCTTCACTGATGCCTGAATGCCTTCCACTGTTGACTTATTAGCAGTACCAACAGCAGCCGCCTTCTCTGCCGTGGCACCAAGCCTTCCTGAATGGTTTTCAAAATTAGCTGCCCTCTCATCAAATACCTTGAGGAAAAAATAAAGACATCAAAAAAAATTATTTCAATAAAATGGGTCAGGCAGCCTAAGATGAAGTCTCTCTCCTTAAGCCGAAGCAGTAACTGCTTAAACAAAGGCTTTAGAGATAGTCTCAAATCCTTTTAGTAAGACAAGAGCCAAAAGCCAAATCATGGCCTTGATGTATCTCCTCAGAGATTTAGTCATATGCAGTATGTGCATACACACAGGTAAGAATACACACCCACCCTTGAATTTCAGTTTAACCCGTGTTCACCAAGTACAATGAAGACACACTATTACTCTGCAACAAGGAATTCCCCAAATGGAAGACTAAATAATCCCCATTCCCAAAAGGTTTATCCTTTATTTTGGGGAAAAAAAAAAAAAAGACAAATCCCTGTAGTAAAATAACAAAACAAAGTCCCTACCTGCATAGAAATTTTATGCTACCATGAGTGAGACAGATTTTTATAATGAGTTTGAAGCAGAGAACCTCCATCTCTCAACTTTATATTGTACTTACTTTCTCCTTTGGCCCAAAGTTAATAGAGTGATTAACAGTCTTGCTATCTTTCCTAACTAGTCTGAAATCTTTTTGTTTAGATGTTCATTAGCAATGTAATCACCAATCAGCAGACCCCTACCTGGAGTCATGGGGACCATTGAACAAAAGTCTGGAGAGTACCCTTAGAAATTATTAACCTGCTTGATCTGACTTCTGTAACTGCTTTTGCATAGGAACCCAACTCCCTTTCCTCTACAGTTCCTTCAGCTCATTTTCCACCGTAATCACCATGTCAATCCAGAAATGACTGTAGCTTTTGCCTTTACAAGCACCCGTCACCTTTCACTCGGGGCTGTGGCATTTTTGAGAAACGTAAGTTCCCCGCAGCCACTGGCAATAAAACTCCAATAATTTGGCTATGTCTGGATGTCCTCTTATTTCTCACTGATTTGACTACAACAAGTTAAATATGTCAAATGTTGATAAGTTACAAGGAGAGAAGTACGATATGGATCTCAAGAAAACCTTGAGGGTGACGCCCCTTATTTCTCACTGATTTGACTACAACAAGTTAAATATGTCAAATGTTGATAAGTTACAAGGAGAGAAGTACGATATGGATCTCAAGAAAACCTTGAGGGTGACGCCCCCCCCAGCGCAGCCGCGCGCCGGGAACGGCCTGGCCGGCGCCCCCCCACTCCGGGGGGGCGCGCCACGCGGCCAGGGGGCCTCCCTGCCCCTCCCTGCCTCTCTGGCCCGGGATGGCCCGGAGGCCGAAAACAAGGTTGAAGAACTTGCAACTTAAGAAGATGATAGTTACCAGCCCTGCATTACCTCAGGGGAAAACAAGAACTACTCTGCCATTTTTAAGGAAGCCAGATACCCAAGGACAACTCACACTGCAGACCCCCACAACACCATTCCTGGTAACTACAAGATGACTGCTGTGCCGCATCAGCTGATAATTATCCCTGTGTACCAGAACTGCTTTCCTGAAACTGCATTCCTTGGAGACTCACCTACACTTGTGGATCTGCCGGAGACCCTTCCTTATCCAACCCTGAGTGGAGTTTATGCTCCCTATTACCAAAAACTTTATGAGCTGATGGTTGGAACTTGTGGCCTCTCTCCCTTTACTTGTATGTATCACTTTTTCAGTAACTCTTCTGGAAGACAACTGTATATAGCAGGGATATTGTAATGGGAGAGTGAGACAGGGCAGAGGGACAAACATAGGGAAAAAAAAATTAAAAGAGGAAGAGGAAAAAAAAAACATATATATGTGCATAAGCAAGAAAGTAGAAGTGGAATATTATTGATGATAACATGCTTGATTGGGTCACTGTGCAGTTTATTCTAGATGGGAAATTACATTTAGTACGCTGTGATGATGCTCAGGGAATGAATGTTAGGGAAAAAAGAAAAAAAACGAAAACAAAAAACAAACAAAAAAAAACGGTTAAACTATTCGTACCATTTAAAAAAAAAAATTGGATATTTGATGGCTGCAGTGAGCGGTATGGGCCCAGTTGGGTTCTACTTTATAGTATGCTCTTTTTACCCAATGGGGTTTAGGCCTAAAGTCAGACTTGAGTTCATGTAGAGGCATGTGTCAGCTGTGATAACTATTGGAGAGACTTAGACTAATTAAGATCACTGACAGATCATTTGGGGAGGGGGGAGGCACGGAGGGCAATCGTGGATGCCAGGGACAATGTGGGAGGAGGATGGGTCATAACAGAGGGAGGGGGATGGGGAATCTAGGATGGTAAAACAAAAGGCAAGGTATGCAGGACACAAGAATTGGGAAATTATTTGCTGAGAACATATATGTTGACGTGCTTGATTGAGCCAACGCACAGTATATACTGGATGGAAAATTCATTTGTGTGTTGCGATGGGAAAAAAAAATTATAATAAAAAATAAACTATAAAAAAAAAAAGAGAAGAGGATAGAGAAAGATAGCAAGTGAACAATAGAGGGGATGTTAGTGAGAAACAGATATGGTTTATTATCTGTTGAAGATGACGTGTATAGTATTCTCAACTGGACTGGTCTGGGAAGTATTTCATGATGGGTGAAGTCTTTTAACAAGCAAAATGAGAAATAGTGATTGACTGTTTTAAAAAATTATAATAATAATAATTATTGGGAAATGCATGGAAAAGACTTTGAATGATAAAGCGGGGAGATCGATGCCTCTGTATTGACTGACATGCATGGCATTCCCTTTTGAAAAAGCAATGGAGGTAAATGTAAAGTTATATGTAATCCAATGTAATATAAAGAAGATTATGATAATAATAAAAAAAAATTAGAAAAAAAGAAAAAAAGAAAACCTTGAGGGTGAGGCTGAGGTTAGAGCTGGACCTGCTATTTTAGGTGGTTACTTGAAAGTGCTATTTCAGTAGAAAGCTGAAAGTCAGTGACTAATACATATAGTACCTGTGAGAAGACCAGAGAGAACAATAAGTGCACATGCCCTGAGATTAGAACAGATAAACATATACGAGGAATATTAGGAATACAATTAAGGTCAATGTGTAAAGAGGACTGACCAACAGAATAAATGGAAGACCCCATATACCCAGATAGAGGAGCATGAGCGGACAGAGTGGTACCATGTGAGGTCAGCACAATTTCAGCAGTGTGCAAATGTCATTCATAACAACTCATGTCAGTTTACAAGACTGAAATACGGCAATCTCTTTCCAACTCTGCTTTTGGTGACTTCTCATTCAAACAGTCACATTGGCAGTATTTACATCATGGAAGTCAATCAACGTTACAAATCAAGGATTTTGTTTTTAATTTTCCTGGAGAGTGGGTTTACCAGCATATTACTGGCCTTACTACTCATTGTAAGGATTTTGGCTTCACCCTAGAGGAACCATTAGAACAGTCTCAGTAGAATGACATCAAATGATTTAAAAGGATCATCTGACTTCTGGATTCAAAATAAAGTACCCTAATAAAATGAATAGTTGCAACTACAGTACCCCCATCCCACATTTCTCCTGTCTTGAACATGATGCCTGGGGCTGGAATGGCTATCCCACACTATGAGAAAAGACCAAGAAAACCAAAGAGATGCCAGCTCC